CCACATCTTGTACAGCAATTAACCACTAGGAAGAATGTATGCAATGTGTTCATTATTGAAACTGTCCTACAAAAAAAAAAAAAAAAAAAAAGATTACGGTGTCCTTTTTCTCCTTTCTGCCTAGTTTTTATCTTTTCTAACCTACCTCAACTAGCGTATGGCTGACGATGAGAGCTGTCACACTGAGATTAGATCATAAAATAACTTTCCCCTTCATCCTTCTTCTCTTTCTCTGTCTTCTTCCTTCCTTCCTTCTTCTCCCATCAGGAGACAGGGTTCCATCTGGCCTCAGTTTTCTGTTAAAAAAAAGAAGTCACACAGTGGCTGGCTCCTACGTTGAGCTCCCCCTCCCTCTCCTCTCTCCCCTCTTCCCTGCTCTCCCTCTTGTCAGCGCTCACCTCAGCAGGAGCTGCGAGGCTGTCAGGCAGCCCTGGGCAGGGGAAGCTGGCTGAGGACACACACACCCAAGTGCCCATGTGACACACCCATGTGCAGCTCGCTGGCAACCATCTGAGTGGACCCGGGGTGGGGTGCCTGAAGGCCGTCACAAGGCCGCTAGTGACATGGAAGTGGGTCCTCTCAGGCCTTCAGATGAGCACAGCTCAGCCGACAGCTGGCCTGGAGCCTCCTCAGAGACCTGGAGCAAGAACCAAGGAAACCAAAGTATTGAATTCTTCACCTTTAAAGAACTGGGAAATGGATTGGGGAGATAGCTCAGCAGCTTAAGCACTGTCTGGGAAGCACAAGGTCCTGAGTTTGATCCCCAGTAAAAAACAAAAAACAAAACAAGACAAAAAAACTGAGAAGTAATAAGAGTCTGTTTTTCTGACAAGGAATTTGGGCTAAGTTGCTATCTGGCGATAACAGGAATATGATCACTTCTCCACACTTAAAGGTTTGCTGATAAGTTCACTTACGCTATTAACAAATGCTTGTCTTTTAGGGTTTTTGGTGGGAATTTTATACAAATCTGTCAATAGAAGATCTGCATAACTCAGAGCCAATACTATTCAAATAATCAGTGCATGATGATACAAAATTATGTATTAGCAAAAAGGACATTTACTATGTAAAATAGACCAATAATTATTAATATGAGTATAAAAAGTACATTGATAAGGCTTCCAAACCATAATTAACTTCTAAGAAATGATCACTTGTTGAATAATGAAAAATGATTAAAGAAGAATATCCATAGTTACCTGGGAGAACTGTTAAATGCTTCCTTGCAGCTACCTATGTGTATGAGGCAGGATTTTCTTTATGCATTTCAACCAAAACAATGTGCTATAATAGAGGAAATCCAGAAACAGACATGAGAAGCCAAACACGTCCTACAAAACTAGACCTTAAAGGGATTTGCAAAAAATGAAAACAATCACCTGGCTTGCTACGTTTTTTTATTTTATTTTATTTTTTGTATTTTAGGGAAGGGTCTACAGGGTGTTCAGGGTCTCACTACTAGATGGACTCATAGTGATCTGCCTGTTTACAGCCTCCCAAGAGCTGGGATTACAGGTGCGCCACCGTGCCCAGTCTCAATTACTGTCTCAGCGTGCCCTGGAGGCGGGGCTGGCACTGCAGGCCCAGGGATTGAATCCCTGGCCCCTGGGCCTACTTGCAGGTGCTTTAATCTGCTGAGCTATTTGACTGGCCCTACATTTTTTATTTCAGAAAATACAACTGTTTTTATTGAATATGCTGCTATTGTTTTTGTTTGCTTGTGTTTACGAGACACAGTCTCACTATGTAGCTAGCCATCACTCTGTTGCCCAGGATGGCCTCAGCCTTTCAGTGATTCTCCTGCCTCAGCCTCCCAAGTGCTGGAATTACAGGCATGCACCACCATATCTGGCTCTTGCTGTTTTAAATGAATCCAATAAATAAATAAAAAGAAAAACAACTAAATGAACTGTGACTGACATGTTGCTCAGTGACAAATTATACCAAAATGTAGTATCTTAGAACAGGAAAAATCATCTCAGAGTTGTAATCAGGAACTCAGGTGCACCTGGCTGGGAGCAGGTGCTCAAATGGCCAGAAGTGATTGCTAGGTTCTTGCAGTCCTGAGCAAAGAATTGGCCAAGCCAAGAGCAAACGATGCATTCACTAAAGGTAGGAGAAGAAAAGAAACACGCTCTGCAGAATGGGTCAGAACAACTAAAAGGAGAAGTACTCTCTGGAGGTGACAGTGGCGCCCTGTGAAACAGCGAGGTGGCCTGAGCGCCAGGGCGACCGTCTGCGTACCGCCCGCTCCTCCCGCTGACGTCAGGCCTAGGTTGGCTTATCAAAACCCGCTGAGTTCTGGCAGGCAGAATGGAAGTTTGGAGAAGGTTCAAGAAGCACCTAGTCAGGCAGGCTATCGGGGTGCCAGCCAGGTGGACGCCTCTTAACACAGGCTGAAACCCATATGAACCAGGAAAACCCAGAACCAACTTATATTAAGCTTTTGCAATTTCTCAAAAGCAAAATAGTATTGTATGTTTAATAATACCTGCAATTTAATGAACATTTCAGATCCACTAAGTAATTATTGTCACATCTTATCTCTTTTTTTCTTTTTTCTTCTTGGCCTTTTTGAGACAGGGTCGCGCTCTGCAGTTCCGGCTGGCTGTGAGCTCACTCTGCAGCCCAGGCTGGTCTGGAACTCGCGGTGATCCTCCTGCGTCAGCCTCCCGGTGCTGGGGTTACAGGCGTGCCCCACCACATCTGGCCGCAACTATCACCTTTTAAAAGGTAAAAGTTAGGACTAGAACATTTGGTAAATTGCTGAGAATCACACAGCCTGGTAGAGAACAGTGCTGGAATTCAAGCCCAGGCCTGAGCCCCAAAACTCATTACTTCTACCACTAAGGCAATGTTGCCTGCACTTGTTATCTTCTTTAAAATTATATGCAAACCTCTTTTTCTGGGTTAATGCTTTCTAAATACATATACACCTGTAGGATATTATTTTGAGGGGAGAGATAGATAGATAGATAGATAGATAGATAGATAGATAGATAGATAGATAGAGATCAGGGATAGAACTCAGGACTTTACACTTGCCAGGCAGGCACATATGCCACTGAGTTTATCCCTGGCTCTGAGATCATTTCTTTTTATTTTTTATTCTTTTGCTATAGGGTCTCCCTACACAGCTCGAACTGGTAGCAATTCTCCTGTCTCAGCCTCCCAGTGCTGGGATTACAGGCGTGCTCTGCCATGCCCACTTTCAGTGACCAGCACAGTGCTCCCAGGTTTCAGGGCTGGCCCCACATGTGGTACCGGGGATCAAACCCCGGTCCTTGCACTTGTCAGAGAGGTGCTTACACTGCTGAGCTATCTCCCCAGCCTATTTTGAGGTCTTTATAATGCTAACTTGTTTTATAAGTCTGTGGTACTTTATTAGGAAGCATAGCATAACATAATAAAAACCTAATAAGGATGATAACCACTGACATTATTTTGTCTAAATTTATTATCTGCAACAACATAAGATGTATAAGGATAGTGGTATGAAAATATAAGTAAATGCAGAAGAAAATAATATCAGATAAGATCACAAATATAAAATAAACTTGGCAAGGTTGGATTTTACTTTGTCACTTTCAGCCTCCCTTTGCCGTTTCCCTTCCAGGGACAGATTCGTTAAGAAAAAACAAAAAGAACCTCCTTAGTACAACTCACAGAGTTGTGATGCTCCAGGGACAGGTGAATACTAGCAGGAAAAATGGTTTCCTTTTATATGTGTTCATTCTGCAGAACAAGAGAGAGAGAGACAGAGAGAGAGACAGAGACAGAGAGACAGAGATACAGACAGAAACAGACAGAAAGAGACAGACAGAGAAAAAGAAAGACAGAGAGAGAGAGAGACAGACAGACAGACAGACAGACAGACGACAGAGACAGAGACAGAGAGACAGAGACAGAGAGAGAGCACTAATGAGAGAAAACAGTTGGGCGCACAGGACACGGCAGTGTGAGGAGTGGGGTGGGGGCAACAGGCAAGACCAGAGAGAGAATACTCATTCCTCTGAGACAGACTCTGATGCCAAATGCCTGATAGGGTGACAAAAGTATTGCTTTATCATACAGATTCCTAGTTTGTGTGCCCATGGTTGTCCAGGATTTTCTTTCTAATACCGAAGTGCACTTTCCAAGCAGTAAGGCATTCTTGCCTTAGGCCTTAGGATCATGGGTCATGACGGAGGGAAGAAGGTTCCATCCAGTTGGGAGAGGCATGTGTGGGGTGGTGGAGAGCGTCTTCAGGCATGTGAAGGCCTAAGGACAATGTGAAAGCCAGGCTTCACGTGCTACGGGGGTCCTCTGGGGAAGATGCTTTTCCCCAATCACTTCCCATGAGGAGACCTTGGCAGCCACAGCCTTAGTGCTTGGTGGAGAGAACAGTCCAGCTAGAATTAAGTATAAAAGCTTCAAACTGAAATGGGGTTTTAGTTTGACAACTCAACTCATCCACATTAAAATATAACTAGGAAATCCATCCAATCTACCTGATACCCAAGTTCTTCCCAGGTTTGGTCAGAGAAAGATAGTGACTCCCTGAAGTGAGAGCCCTAGGTGGTGGATACAGATTAAGAGAAAAAAAAGATTGGGATAGTAAAGAAGACAAACCCAAGACTACATTTTGCCTGGTTTGACCTAGTGAGCCTCACTGGGGTAAAGGAAAAGAAATCTGTTTAGAAGCCTTTCTGAATTAATCCTTGTGTTTCTCTCCTACTTGGCATCGTATGTGAAGCATTTCTTTGAATGCTCTGGCCAACACTCTTCAGAAGGAGCCTTGTTCTCCATGATCCATTAATTGAAGTACCACTGCAGAGTGTGGGACAGAATTCAATTTATATCGTAGGATTTAGCATGGTTCAGTTCTCAGTCCCCTCATGGGGGACCCCATACTTCCAAACACATTCCTCCTCCTCTCACTGACAGAGAGCTTTCAGAAGATTCTGGAACAAGTTGTCAGAGGCCCATTATGGGATAATAAAGAATTCCAGCAGGGAGCTGTGGGTTCTCTTCTACCTGTTTTCCTGAGAAGCAGGCCACCCTCACCTCAGGCCTGCGAACTTGCTAGGAATTAGGAACCCAAGAAAGAAGTCCTCATGCTCATCAAACCTGTCGGAGAGGCATGTGGACAGGTACTGAAGAGCTTCTCTGGAAGAAGTATTCGCAATCCTGTAAAGGTTGTGGGTGTGGAATCAAATCCCCCAGGGTTCCCTTGTTTTCTGGTATCTAGAAAGTGAACTCAGTTTCCCATATTCTTGTGACTCATTTAGGGGATTTTTTTTTTTTTTTTTTTTTGAGAAAGGGTCACCCTAAACAGTTCAGAGTGGCCTGGACTATGTAGCACAGGCTGGCCTTGAACCATGACTATTCTCCTGTCTTAATTTCCCAAATGAGATATTTTTTAAGCTTTGTTCTTCTTAACTTTTTTTTTTTCCTTAGTTGAGGAGATCCAGAAAGTAATTATGGACCTAATGGATGAATTTAAAGATGATTTTCCACATACTCTGGGATTATCACAGGCTAATCAGGTAATGTGATTTCATAACTTTCAGAAGGAATACAAAAAAGTATATTGTATTTTAGTATCTTACAAATATTTAATGCTTTTATTTTGATATCAGTACTCAAAGTTTAAAGAAATATTAATTATTTTGGTCTTTTTCAGACAGGGTCTTGCTATGTATTTTAGGCTGCACTTGAGCTCATGTCATAGCCCAGGCTGGTCTCAAACTCACAATAATCCTCCTGCCTCAGCCACCTAAGTGCTGGGATTACAGGTATATTCCACTATTCCTGGCTTAATCCTTTCAAAAAGTTTTCAAATCTTGCTCCTTGGGAGCAGTCTATGGAAGGCAAAGAAGTTGAAGACCAAGAAGTAAGACAGATGAATTACAGTGCTGGGGAGGCTGAAAACAGGAGGATCACTACGAGCCCAAGCTGTGTAGAGACCTTGTACCAAATATAGTAAAAAAAAAATAAAAAAATAAATGATTTTTTTTAATCATCATGCCACTAGAGTAGAAATGTATCTCTGTTAGTAAAAACTGAGCTAATGTTTAGTGGATGAATTAACTTAAAAATTTACTTCCATGGAATCCCTTATTTACCATTAATGGCTTGCAAGGTACTTATGCTCTACTTTAAGTAAAAATCATTCTTTTATTTTTTGATCAGAATAGAAGGTGTGGGCTATATATATATGGATGGTTCAGCTGTTCTTTTGTTTTGGAGATAAGATCTCCCCGGGTAGTTCAGGCTGGCCTCGAACGCATGCATTTCAGAAGGGAGATGAGGTGTTGGGCATTTCTGTTTACCATCAAATCAATGGCAAGTGTTAATTCTCAAGACCTGCTGCCTTTCTTAGCTATAGTGGAGCTCTGAGACTCAGAATTGGCTCCCAACTGCTCCAGCACAGGCAGCCTCTCTACTGTCAGAGCCAGGGAAGAAAAGACTGCTGGGACTCACTGAGGTACAACGCAGCTATGGGCTGTGAGATGAGAGATAGCTCCTGGGGACACAGACGCATGAGGAGAGGGAAGTGGAGTCTGACAGCAAATGGAGCTTGGAAGGTGGGGGTGAGGGGCAGGAGAGGCCGTGGCCTGAGGAGCAGGTGCAGCCCAGTGAGACAGGATAAGGCTAAGAGCTTGCCGCAAAGCAACTTTCCTAGCACCACTTCCTCCCCGACTCCCTACCCTGGGAATGAGGCCTTGTGGAGCCCGGAAACATTTCTGGGCAACGCCCAGAGCGTGTGCGCTGTGCTGTTCTGATGATGGCCCAGGTGGCTCGCTAGGCCCAGTGATCACCAAGGCCTAAGGGTGAATCCTAGAAGCCCAACAGGCCAGGAAACCTGCTGTCTTTCCAAACTGTGACTCTCTCATCGTCGACATTGCAAAAACTGGGATTTTATTTAACCAAAGAAGCTACAACTCCTTCTTCTCTTTTGGTCCTGTGAGGCACCTTATTGTCACTAGATAGGTTGATCTTTCTTTCTTTTTTTGTTTTGGTCCCGGGGATTAAACTCAGAACCTTGCTGCCAGGCAGGCACTTATGTCGCTGAGCTATCTTCCAGGCTGATAGATTGACTTTCTGATCCTCAAAGATCAGAAAATAATTCTATGTTCTTGTGTTCAACTTCTTATTTAAGAATATTACCCCACACACACACACACACTCACACACAGTGTCTACCTAGTGCAGGCTGCCCTTGCACTGACAATACAGCCCAGGCCGACTTTGAACTTCTGAGTGGTGTGGTTGCAGGCATGTGCCACCACATCAGCTGCATTTTCTTTACTTTTTTTTGGTGTGGGGAATTGAATTCAGGACATTCCACTTGCCAGGCAGGCGCTTGTGCTGCTGCGCTATATCCCTGGCCTTTTCAGCTTCATTTTCTTATTTTAAAAACACTCCTACTATTCTTTTCCCACCATGTACTTTATTGACTGTATTGCTAAGTTTGGCAAGAAGGCTGTGCAAGGTGGCCCACTGCTATCAGTCCAGCCCTCAAGAGGCTGAGGCAGGAGGATCACTGTGAGTCGAGCCCAGCCCGGGATACAAAGTGAGTTCAGCCTGGACTACACAGTAAGACTCTGCTGAATAAAAGAAAAAAAAAAGAGGCAAGAGGTCTGAAGTTAAAGACTGCTATAACATATTGGAAGTTATTTGAGCTTCAAAAATAAAGTATTCAGAAAGCATGGTAAATACTCTTTTCACTAGATTATTTTTAGAAGGTAGGTTCATATACACTATAATTTTCATTTTAATTCACAGAATGATCCATAGTTCCCAAATATACTGAAAGGAATAGCTTTAAGCCTGCTCTGTAGGCTTTATTAATTAGGTTGTATTTAAATCTCTAAATTAGGTGGTTGGTACTTAAAATTTTTTTCTTCCAGGGATTTATTTAGGAAGAAGCCTTCTTGTTTACTTGAAAAAAATGATTTGATAGCAGCAGCAGTAGAATATTTTAATGCTGGTTATTAAATCATTCTTCATGATTAAGGTTTAAAAAAAAAACAGTAGCAAGGTTTACATTTATTAAAGGTTGGAAAAGAAACAGGATCTGCAGAACAAATTTGGGCCACAAACCTGAGGGGCAAGAAGCTTGCACTCCTGGGTGAAGGCGGGCCACTGTGAGAGAACACAGTAGCCCCGGCTAACGGTTTCGAATAAAATTGTCTTCCTGAGGCTGGAGAAGCTGCTGTTGAAGTCGTGGCTGGAGGGGGCTCCGCAGTCCCGCAGCCTCGCCCTCGCCTCCCAGCCCCACCAGGCACCCAGGCGGTCACGGCCTGCATCCTGGCTAGAGTCACTTTGAAGCTTTGCGCTGGCAAAGTACAAATGACACGTGAGCCATCTGAGGATTGTAGAAGTGTCGACTGTGAAATTGGAGCAAACAAATGTCTACTACATCGGGGAAATAAAAGAATTAATTCAGACGTTCCTTCCTAGAAGGAGCAAAAACTGTTATGATAAATAGGATCCAATGCATGGTGAGTTTTTCATTATAAAGGATGATTGCATGCTTTTGCTGCTATCTTTTCTTTTCTTTATTTTTATACCCTAACCCTAGCTGTTGCTACCTTGCAACTAACCCTGTCTCATAAGACTGAAAGTTATAGACAAAATAAATGCAATAAGGGCATAGCATATTCCAATTTTTAAAAATGTTCATACCTGTAAATCTGTTTTTGCAAAGTTCTCTAAGTTTAAAAAAAAATGTAGGCCAAAAACTTCTGAGGTTATACCAGTAATGTCTGGAATTACTTGTAATGAGAGTGGGATTTTGAAGTACATCGAGCATAAGGCTATAGCTGGAATATTCTATGATGTTTTTGCCTTTGGCGGGTTGTTCCTTGTGAGGCCTAATGAGCACTGATTTGGAAGTTATAGCGCCTACTGTTCCCTGAAAATGTTTGGGTGGTTTCTAATATAATATTGGGACATTTCTTATTGTGTCTCCATATTAATTTGTTATATTTTCTGATGCTCTTCATGCATTTTGAGAAATACTTATTGAATATTTACTAAGTGCCAGATGCTAATTTAAGCACTGGGGGAGAAATCAGTAAGCCATATAAGTAGAAAACACTTTCTGTCATACAATTTACATCCTTGTCAAATAGAAAATCAATAAACAAGGACAAGAAACTGGATAGCAGGGTAAGTTTTAGGAGAAGAAAAATATAGCAGAGATGGGATATAAAGCGGGAGTGTAAGTGTATTAGAACTGATTTTTGAGGTAGGATGATTCTTCCATTAAGATTGGAAGACATTGAGGGACTGAATGAAATTGGGGACCCTTGAGGGGTCAGATGGCAAAGCTGCTGCAAAGTCAGAGGTGGCAGCCATCAACCAAAAACAGTCAAGCAGAGTCTCCAAGCACATTCATTCAGAAACAGCAGAGCATTTCAGCAGGTACCTGCGTGCTGTAGGAAAGTACAGACATATTCAAGGAGGTCCCAGTAAGAGGACGATCGCTAAAGCAAGAAAGGAGACGTTTAAGTAAGCTCTGGGACCCAGGGTCTTGGAGTCGGCATCAGGCCATCAGCAGAGGTGACACTGAGGGCAAGTGCTCTGTCAATAGGATCCTGTCCAACATATCGCTGTCTGGATCTGAAAGACAAACTGTGTTACACAAATCTCTTCATACCTGCAAGGTGAGATAGGTGCAGCTATGTGGAGAATGAACAGAAATCTCTTGGAACCTCTAGAAAACCCTTGAGAAACTCTTATCTCTACAGGCAGCCCTGAGCCCTCCGCTTCATAATTCTGCTTTAATCTGGCTTGGGTCTGATGAGAAAGATTCCAACTTATCATCAACTTCCACAAGGCGTACTTCACAAGTTCAATGAATACTCAGAAGGAAAGGTGGTGTAGCCGTGGGTGCCTATAATCCCAGCGTTCGAGTCTGAGGTAGGAGCTCAAGGCTAGCATGGAATACATCAATGCGACACTGTCTCAAAAGCACAAGAACAAAACAAACCAAACAAACAACAAAATAAAGGAGGGGAAAAGGGAGAGAAAGATGATGAAGCCAGAAAAGGAAAGAAGTAGGAATCTTCATATGGCCTTACTTGTATTTTGGCTTTTGCATGAGTTTCAACAAGATGCCACTAAAGCAACCAAGCAGATGCAAGATACCACCTGCCATGAGGCTCCTTTTGTTTGGTTTTGGATACAGGGCCTCAGACTCGCATCCGTCCTCGTGCCTCAGCCTCCGGAGTGTGAGACAACAAGCAGGTGACCGAGGCCCAGCACTGGTACCCCGATACTGCTGGCTGATCCATTGTTAAATGAATAAAACCAGCAGGGCTGAAGCTGGGAAGCCACTTGGGCTAGGTGTCCAGGGAGAGCAGATGGGCGTAGTACAGGGAGAGGAGAGAGGGGGCCAGACCCTGGGGCTATTCAGAGAAAAAATGAACGAGATGTGCTGACAGGCAGGCTTTATAGATGGAGGAGAGTAAATCGCTGAGATAAAAGAAAGTGGAGTTCAGCACTAAAACCGCTGATAACAAAGTAATGGGTGTAGCTAAAAAAAGAAAAAAAGGAAAGGGAGAGGAAAAGGAAAAGCAGGGTACTTCAAGTCATGGAGGCCAGAGGAAGAAATCTGGAGCCGGGCTCAAAACCAGTCTTCTTTGACACTGCTAGGTCTGGCGAGTGACCTTGAAGGGAAGGTCACACAGAGGTGACAGTGTGCATGGTAGGGGCAGTCGTGCGGGGCATCAGGGTGTGCTCGCCTGATGAGAGACAGAGAATTACAGAAAGGAGAGGAGGGAAGCGAGGACTTCTTCCTGTGGGGTCAGTATTCACATTCACACACATCGTTTGGAAAAAATGAATACATAGCCCAGGTGGTAGGCAAAAGGGAAAAGCTGGTGGTGCAAAAATATTTTTATTTAAGAAGTTTTCCTACTACTAGAATGAGGAGAATAAGTAGCTCCTAGAGAGGAAAAGTGTATTGAAATCACCATGGGTGGTGACTGTCATTCTGCCCCCTGCTGTCTCCTTCATGGTCCCATCCCCCACCAGGAAGATCTGCCATGCACGCACGCTGGCACCTGGATGTCTCCGTCTGTCTGTCTGTCTTTTCGAGTCAGAGTTTTACTATGCAGGTCATGCTGGCCTTGAGCTCACTTTGCAGCTCAGGCTGGCCTCAAACTCCTGCCTCAGGCTTCCAAACCCTGGAATTGTAGGCCTGTGCCCCCACACCCTGTAAGAAAGAAAGATTTCTTTTTTATACCTTCTTCTCAAAACCAACAAGGAGGTCTCCTCCAGCACGAATTGATTCTGTTTTTTGGCAGGTTGAATAAAGATGGTCAGGAATATTTTTGTCATCAGGGCAACAATTCTTTCAAACGCATCTAAGAAAGTATCAAAAAAAAGGAAGGCAAAAGGGTATACAGATGAATGTCCATTTTGTATCTGTGTATTCAAAGTGATTAGGATAGATATATAGTTACATTCGCTTAACGAATAGAATGATTTGTTCTAATGGTGTTTGTAAATAGGATATCAAGTCCGCATCTTGTACAGCAATTAACCACTAAGAAGAATGTATGCAGTGTGTTAATTATTGAAACTGTCCTACCGATTTGATTTGAAACTGTCTCATTGCTATTTGTTTATCAATAAAATTATGGCAAAAAAAAAGAGGAACAAAAAAAAAAAAAAAAAAAAAAGGAAGACAGCCAGGCATGGTGGCATGTGACTGTAACCTCAGCACTCTGGAGGCTGAGGCAGGAAGAGTGCTGTGAGTTGCCAGATAGCATTTGAATACTGAAGGGGAACAAAAATGATAGCCATTAAGAATAGGTTCAGGGGGCCAGGGAGATGGCTCAGTGGAATAAGTGCTTCCTTGGCAAGCACAAGAGCCTGAGTTCAATCCCGGGTTCCACCAAACAATAGGTTCAGGGCCAGCCAAATAGCTCAGTAGATTAAAGCAGATGCAGGGGCTGGGAATTCGATCCCCCAGGGCATGCTGAGACTGGCCTTGATGGCACATGCCTATTATCCTAGCATTTGGAGGCTCTAAATAGGAGGATCACTAAAAGTCTGATCTAGACAGTGAGACCCTGTAGACCCTGTCCTAAATACAAAAAAAAAAAAAAGAAAAGAAAAGAAAAAGAAAAAGAAAAAGAATAGGTTCAGGCTTTCAAACACGTGGCATCAAAATTGGGAAGATAACACAGTTATTTGGTTACTGTAACAGTCTTACATTATTATTATTATTATTATTATTATTTTTATTGGTGGAACTGGGGATTGAACTCAGACCCTTGCACTTGCCAGGGAAGTGCTTATTCTACTGAGCCATTTCCCCAGCCCCCTAGTCTTACATTATTGTAAATAAAAATGTTTTACACAACAATGCTATTTTTTTTAAATGTATCAGTTATTTAACTAGGCTCATGAAGAGATTGAAGTGTGGGGTAGTGAGCCACCGGGGTCCACACAGGAGCTGCCTGCAGGACATGTGGACATGGTGGCCCCAAGCTGTCCTCGACTTTGAGAACAGTTTGCTGACCCGTGGTAAATCGCTCACCAGTTACTTTCTAAGGCTTCTCTTTCAGAAAGAAGAGCCTGCGCAGAAAACATCCAAAATCAGGCGGGCTGCGTCAGCCAGCAGCCCCCCGGGCCCGGGACTGCTGGGCCTGGCACTGAGCAGCCTGTCCTGGGGCTGCAGGGCCCTGGCCGGGCTGCTGCGGCCGTGGCTGGTGGGGAGATTGGCAGAGCTGCGCGCCGGGTCCCACCGCTGCCTGCACCAGCTCCTCGGGCCCCCAAAGGGCCCCTCGCAGGTGAGCAGCTGGCCCAGGGCACAGGGGGGACAGGAGGGGCAGGAGGGACCCTGCTCCAGAAACTCCAAGGTCTGGAAACTGAAAAGCTAGGGCAGGCCTTTGTCCTCCAGCTAGCAGTTCACATGGACAGATACAAGAATGCCTGGTCTGGGCTTCCTTCAGGACTTTCTGCTTGTGTACATCTCAAAGGGGCAGCAACGACCTTTTCTCTACTACCCATCTCAGACTTCAAACTAAGGGCAAGTACTGAAAGAGCAAATTGTAAAAATAGTTATGGTTTCCTGAGCAAGGTGAGACTGAGGCTGGAGGCTGAGGCAGAATCCCTCGAATCCAAAATGTTGCAACAAATCTGGGCAATTTTGTATAGAGAGATCCTGTCTTCAAAAAAAGAAAGAAAAATAAGGCATTTGGTTTCTTTTCCCCCATAATATTGTATGATTCCAAAAATAATCTTTGTTTAGCATAACACATTGATTATATTTAACTCATCAAGACAGATCAACAATATTTAAGTATATTTCATACAGTGTTTTATGTAGCACTTTATTGAGGCTCTGTTATATTTTGTTAAGGGAAATAGCCTTAATAACTTTTTAGGCCCTGGGCCAGGTGTGGTGGTGCTCCCCTGTAGGTCTAGCACTGGGGAGGCTGAGGCAGGAGGGTAGCCACAAGTACAAGGCCAGCCTGAACTATACATATAGCAGGACCTTTTCTCAAAACAAACAATGGGGGAGGGGAACAAAGAAAATTGTTTCCAGATTCAATTTTCTTCAGCTTTGTTTTTGCTTTTCCTAAATTTTATGGTATAAGACTTTGGGTTTTTCAATATACACATTTTTTTTTGAAGTATCTAGGAATAGAAGAGTAGAAATAAATAGTTTTAATTTTGAGGAACCTGAGTCTTTCCTGAATCAACGATTTTGACTTTGCTTTCTTTTTTTAGAGACAGGATTTCATTATACAGTTCAGGCTAGTCTTAAGTTCACTATGTAGCCCAGGCTGGCCTCAAACTCACAGTGATCCTCCTGCCTCAGCCTCTCGAGTGCTGGGATTACAGGCACACACCAACACATGCAGCTTGACATTTTCAAAAACGGCAGATATTTCAAATACAAACTGCCTGAGGACATTTATTACAGGTTCCTTTATAATACCTCATATTTAGGGAAGTAAAAAATGCCTTGTTTGTAACCACTGCTTTCTCTAAAACTACAAATCTTGCTGCTGTATGTTTAGAGCATCAAAAGAAAACACAGCCAAACTATATGCTCTCCAATTCTCGCTGAAATATCCTCCTCAATCTATTGTATCTTGCTGTTTCTTTCCTTGCTTTGCCAAACTCTTAGTTTTTATACAATGCTGATACCAGAAATGTAAACAACAGTTCTACATTTACTATGAAATCGCATTTAGAGGTGCTGTCCCTTACGCTTTTTGGTCTCTGTTTGCTTCTCTGCTAAGTCATAGCGGTAAAGGAGCTGAGAGTTGATTTTAAGTATTTGTTTTTTAGACAAGTGTCACTATGAAGTTGTGCAATCACTGCATAGCCAGGCTGGTCTCAGGCTTGCAGCGATCCTACTGCCTCGGCCTCCCGAGTGCTGGGGTTACAGATGCGTGCCAGCATGCCTGGCTAAAATCTGAGATTTCTACTACTTTCTGGATAATCCGTTAGTCTGCAACAGTTATACACACATGCACTACACAAAAGCACAAGAACCTCGGATCAGGCACCTAGATAGTTATCCAAAGTAAAAACATGCACAATGGGCAATACCAGGTACTGGTTTCCGTCCACTTCATTCCCGGGGGGCAGTGATGAGGAGCAGATGTCGCCTGTGTTTGTAGTAGGTTACGACACAAGGGAGAAGAACCTTGAAATTAAAAGACCAGGTTTTTCTGCGGACACTGACCATCTGTCTGGTCTCTGTGGTAAGAAAGAGGGAACATTCGCTGTCCTGGAATGGAAGCGATGCCTCTGGGGAGGCAGCACAGGGCCTTATCTTCACTGTCCTATGATACATGTGTGGGGTGCACCGCTCCTCTCAGGAGGGACACAACTTCTCGCCCTCTGAGGCAGTTGCTATTCAGGTATGTGCTTTGCCCAAAGTCTCCACTCTGTATAAGAACGACAAACATCTGTGAAGAATAGTCTTTCTGTGCTCATGAGAATTCACTGGCAGGAAAATTAAAATGGTATCTCTCTATTCCCCTTGAACCCATGTTTCCTTCTGTCCAGTAATGGGAACTGCAAAACAAATGTCTGCCATTTGCCCTGACCTAGCATGAGATTCTGAGGTGAACTTAGAGTGCAGTTGGAATAATTTATTCCAGGAACCTTGAGATGAAAGGAACCAGTTTGGGGACCTAGTGACTTATGTAAAATCTGTATATCAACTGTGACTATCTCCTGCGATATCAATTCAGAATTGGCATTTATGAAATCCTTTCTCCTTTGCTCTTATCTAATTATAGGAAGTAATTCATCAGGAATCTCAAGCAAACTTAAGTTGGTGGTCGTACCTGTCACACCCCAGGCTCTCCTGAAGCTGATGTGAGCGCACCCCGGAGTACTTGTGCATCTTACTACCTTTGTGCGCAAGTGTAGAGTATCAGAGTATGCTTATTTTTCTTTGGTACTGGGGATCAAACTCAGGACCTTGTGCTTGCCAGGCAGGCACTTATGCCACCGAGCTACATCCCCAGCATATTTAAAGTTTATATAACTTATACCGGATCACATTTATCCTTCTGTAACCTCCTGTTTTATTCACTGTTACTGATATAGCTAGCTATATCAGTATGGTTTATTTTAACTTTTTTGTGGTATTCTAGTATAAGAAAAAAGAATCCACAGTTTATTGGTTATTGGAAAGATGGACAATTTAGTTTCTTTTTCTGTTTCTTTTATAGACAATGCTACCATAAACATACTTGTGAATGCCACCATGCCCATGTGTGTGACATTCCTCAGATGTGAATCTGGAGAGGCACTGCTCTGAGTTTATTTGCTGTTACCAAACTAAAGCAAAGGCAGGGCGAGGCATTCTGATTCCTAAATCTGAGGACAAATTGTTCAGTTCAGGAAAACACTTAGCAATTCAAACCCCACCTCTTTGTCATTTCTCTGAGCTCTCCCTCTGCAGGGCCTTCTCATTGTACTCCTCGCATGTGCCTACCTTCTCCATGCTTGCCTTGCCTTATTTCTTTTTGATGCACCCTGAGCTATTAGTTGTGTCTAAAATGCTGTATTATTCAGGATTCTTTTGTTGTTGTTGTTTTGTTTTTTGTCTTTCAGCGGAACTGGGAATTGAACTCAGGCCCTTGCGCTTGCCAGGCAAGCGCTTATTCTACTGAGCTATCTCCCCGACCCCTATTCAGGATATTTTAAATATGTCACTCAATTTATTATTTCTAAAAGTTCTAATTTGGTATTAGAGTCAAAGTTCTTGTTGCTTTTTTTGTCAATGTGCTTTATAAATCAATACATTCAAATTAATTATTTGAATGTATTTATGTATAGTAGTTTAAATGTTCCTTTAAGTATTAAGAAGGTGCTAATTTTTCTATTGTGGTCTATAAAATATCATACTCATTTCAAATAGCTTATGTTTCATGATTTTATTTTAATAAGAATTTCTCCAGCTTTTTGTTATTGTTGTTCACTTTATTCATTTATTTAGAGACAGGGCCTCACTGTGTAGTTCAGGCTGGCCGTGGCCTTACTCCGTGGTCCAGGCAGGCCCCAGACCTGCAGTGGGGCCTTGGCGTACTAGTGCTCCACCGCTGAGCTACATCTCAGCCTACTTTTGTTTTTAAATAAAAATCTCCTTTGTCTGTGGTGGTGGGATTGTCTCTAGAGGAATTTTGCTGGTGGTCCTAGGATCTCTGCTGTCTGGGACTGATCTTTCTATTTTTTAGCTTAGAGTTTTCTGCATCATGCCAGTAGGGTGAGTTTGGACCCCTTCATGAGAGGCAAGCTTGAGGTTTTAGTTTCTTATGAGAAAATTCCAGCCTGGAGTGGAGGAGAAAAGCTTCTTTCTTTTCTCTGTGTATTGCTGAGTGCAGTTGTCAACATCCAATGTCACTGAAATCATGGCTCTGTGGACACCCAGTGCCTGCTTTGATACATCCAAGTTTCATCTCCAGTCTCTGCACTGAAGCCAAAGCACCCAAACAGGCTACAGCACCAGCCCAGAGGCCCTGGGTACCAGCTCAGGTGCTCCTCCGGCCGTCGTTCCCTCTTTGTGTAGGTGCCAGGGATCCCTTTTCTTTTTCATAAACTCTGCTTTATATTACATTGTGGGATTAATTGTGCATGTAATTTATTTCTTGATGTTTTGGGGTGAGCAGTTCCACATAGTTCTGCCTTGCTATGCTCCTGGAATCTGTTGTCCTTCAGTGAGGTATAGTCTCTTCCTTCACAGGTATAGGATGGTAAAATTTCTTTTGGTAAGTAAGTGAAGTACAATTCAACTTTTTCATGCACTTAACAGTATTTACTGAAAACCTGATATGGAAATTCACTAGTTCAGGTACGAGGGATTCAGAAGTATCTGGCCCTTGCCCTGTGGACCGTGGGCTGATAGGCAAATGAGCAAGCAACGTCACTAGGCGTAGGGAAGATGAGATTCAAGAGTTCACAGCATACTACAGAAGTACCAAGAAGAGACACAGGATCCCAGAGGGTGTCAGGACAGCCTTTTTAGAAGACAACATATTTTTAGCTGAGACTTAAAGGAAGAAGAATTAGGCACAGAAATAAAGAGAGCAGTCCAGGAGGAGAACAGTCATATTAAGATACCTCAGTGAGAGCCAGCACAACTTGTTTGGGGAACATAAGTAGTTCCGCATGGTTGTGGTGGGACAAGGGAAGTCAGGCTAAGGTCAGTGGTTCCCAGGTCCTTAAGACCTGGGGGTAAGGAAAAGAAGAAGCTTTGCTTGAATGATAAATAGTATTAGGATGGAGAGGCAGGACTGCCACTAAGGGGAAGCTAAGTTGT